CTGTAGTAATAATTGTGGGAGAGCCATAGTGGGTTGGACCACAATGGCAGCAGTGAAGATGGTGAGAAATGATCAGCTTCTGAATCTACTTTGAAAATAGACCACACAATGGGAGGCCCAAGCTTCACCTGTACGTAAACATTTCACTTATGTACCTAATCCTGACTTGTACCACACATCTTTAGAATAAAAAAGGAAGCCGGGCTCTGTGGCTCAGCCTGTAATCCCGTGCCTTTGGGAGGCTGAGGTGAGTGGATTGCCTGAGCCCACGGGTTCGAGACCTGCCTGGGCAGCAAGACTTCATCTCTACAATAAATCAAAAAATCAGCCGGGTGTGGTAGCGCATGCCTGTAATTCCGGCTACTTGGAAGGCAGAGGCGGAAGGATCGCCGGGAGCCCAGCAGGTCGAGGCTGCGGTGGCCGGGAGCGGCCACTGCACTTCAGTCTGGGCAACAGAGTGAGACTCCAACTCAAAAAAAAATAAAAATAAAAAAGGAAAAAATAAAATAAAATCCTGACATTTTAGCTGGAAACAAAATAAGGAAAGTAGACCACAAATGAAAACCTAGTGTGTAAAAATAGAGAGTAGTTCTCAGACTCTTCAAAAACAAAGACAACATTTTATTCATCTTTAATTCCTTAGTGTCTGAGCATAAACATGACATAAACAGTTGAGTATGTTGAATAAATGGTTGTGAATACAAATCTTGTTTCTAGACTGGCATTTCTGGAAGTAGGTATGCAAACACTTTGGGTTCCAGCAGTAGATGTCAAGAAACCCTGATTAATTTTAATAGTACAAAAGAACAAGTTGACTCGGTCAATTTCCAGATTTACTCATTTAACAGGAACTCTGCTAGGTGCTTAGGTTACACCAAAAAGCCAGTTATATTTCTTTTGTATTTTTCATATCCCTCATATTCCTGAGCCCCACACTAGCACTCCTATATGCTGTGCTACAAGCAGTTCTGGAAGACTACAAACTATTTTCAAGGCTCCCAGTGCCTATGGGCAAAATTGGTGGGATAGAAGGGAGAAAATGGTTAACAGTTTTAATGCTTTAGTTAATGCCTGGAACTACAGCTATTTTGACACCAGGGAAATTATGCAATGCATTATCTGCTTAAGAATTCACTCAGATGAAAGGAATAACAATATGGTTTATTACTTGTATACAATTAAGTTACACTAGGATTGTTTATTTTCCTGGACCCCTGAAAACCTTGAAGTAACAACCTTAGAAATTGCAATAAAAACAAGAATTTGGAAAGACGTGCAAAGGATTTGGGGTAATAACCCGATTCAACAAAATGTATAGAGCAGGCAGGAGTATATAATGTTGAACTAGTAATTGGGAAAGGAGATCAGGAAATCTTACTATGTTTGAATTCTGGAGTCTTAGATTTATATTGTTAATAGGGAGAAATTGCTAATGCCAGAAACCACGTGTGATATGTGAATAGATACAAAAAAGAAAGGATATTTCTATAATAAGGAGAAGTGATACATTAACAAAAAAAGTTCGCAGGAAAGTAGTCATTTGAAATATTTCCATAGTAGCACAGTAGTATACATTTCAAACTCCATTTGAAATGTATAAAATAGTTACCACATATACAAAGCTGACTGAAAAAAATAATTTCCTCATTCGAATCAATCAGATCCAATTTTGACTCGTAGGAGGAAAAACAAAAGTTGGACTTAAAAAATGTTTAGCAAAAAAATAGATGAACTGAGTTTACTTAGTGGTTAAAGTTCTCATCATGAATAATTGAAGAGATGATACCACACAGATTTGGGACCTCATTAGAAGATAAGGTCATTCTCAGGTGAGAAGTGATTTGTAAAAAGAAGAAAATCAATACTGTCATATAGTTACAAGACATTTTAAAAAATATAGTCTTTATTGTTAAACAATTATACTACTATTATATAGAGACTTCAGCTAGCAAAGTGTTCAATCTCCATTTACCTGCCAATTATTAACATTTCAGAGCATTTATATAGCACTTCTTATTTGTATAAGCAGATCCTCAAAACCCTGAGGGGAGTTGTCACTCCTAATTTTTTTATTACACTAAAGAAAGAGGCAGAGTCCCTTTGCAGGATTACACATATCTTTGCCAAAATTAAGACCAAACCTATGAGGACTATTCATAAAAAGCTCTTTTCATTATAACTATTCATTCTGCCCAAGTACAAAGAAAAAAATGCTATACCCAACTATTTATTCAAGCAAAGGGAGAAAAAAGAAAATAAAGAATTTCTGCACTGCTTCAGTTAGAGAAATGAAATAGAATCGCTGGATAGTCGACAACAAAATTCCTAAAATAATTTAAGAAAGCATGAAAAATGGCATTTTGTTGTACTTTATATACTGCTTATAACTTAATTAAGCAGTTAATTTTACTGGATCTAATTTCATCTGAAAATAATTTCTGACCACCTTTTAAAATGGGTTAGAGATAAACTCATTTTGTAATTCACTTATTTATACATACTTGTGTTTTATACAGAAGTGGGGCATCTAAAAGACTATCAGCAAAATAATTTATAGGAAATTAGAAAATACTGCTAGATAGTTTCTTCAATCATATTTTGACCTTAACGTGTTAGTGGCTTTCTGGTGCTTACTGAATAAAGTTTAAACTCCTTGTTCTGGCACCAAAGGCCCCTACAATGTACCTATCTCTCCAAACTTGCCTTATTTACTAAATTTGACAAAGTTGCTATGAGTCTTTTCAGCTCTCTAACATGTAACATCGTCCATGTAATAACAGCTCACACAGCTGGAGGTAAACGTTCCCTTTTCCCAACTTCTACAACCCTCAGTCTACCACTCACAAGGCATTTATCACTGCACTGCCTTATTTGTGTGCAAGTCTTAATAACCTTAAACAAAAGACTCAAGCCCATATGTACAAATGATCCTAAAAAAAAGTATTGCATACCTCAATGCTGAATCACTATGGTTAACTTTCGAAGTACTTCCCTTGGGAAGCTATGCACTGACACCAGTGCCTATTCCACCCATCAGAGCAATTTTGGAACTCTATTTCTGGAATGGCCATCAGAGCTGTTATTTGTGGGGGTCTAACAATTAAGTTTGCAGACTTGCCACTGTGCACTTATGTTGGCAGCACTGTACAAATAACTGTATTGGAACACCCTCCCTACTCACCTGATCTGGCCTCCAGTGACTTTTTTCTTTATCCGAAGATAAAGAAAATATTGAAAGGAAGACATTTGGATGTCAATCAGGACATCAAGGGTAATACGATGCCAGCTCTGATGGCCATTCCAAGAAAAAAGTTCCAAAATTGCTTTGATGGATGGACTAGGCACTGGCATCAGTGCATAGCTTCCAAGGGGACTACTTCAAAGGTGACCATAGTGATATTCAGCAATGAGGTATGTAGCACTTTTTCTAGGATGAGTTCGTGAACTTAATTATTGGACTTTGTATATACATATGGACAGAGGCTTTATCCCTTCCCCTGTATAGCGTAGCAGCCACACAAAAGTAATTTTCCGCAATATTTTCCTGCTCGACAGAGAAGACTTTTAGGCTTGGAAGGCACAGGAGTAAAAGGAGACATGATGTTCTTTGTTAATGTCAATAAGTTACATTTGTATAATACTTTTTCATTTGTAAAAAAGTCTTTCACATATATCTCTTTATGTAACATCCGAAACAATTAAATATCAAAGAAAAATGAACAGAGTTGTTCATAATGAGTTTGAGTGTTTAGGATTAGGGTTATTAGCAAATAGGAAAACTAAAGATTAAAGCAGAGAAAAGGAAATGGCTAGCTTTGTAGAGATAACAAAACTAAGGTTAATTTAAAAGGAAAATTTGAAAGGCTAGAAAATTGAATAGAGAAAGTCTACAGAACTTTGGAAAACTAAAGTTTCATATTAGGCTGAAATGAGGGAATAAGGAAGGCAATATAAGACTGTAGGGAATTAATAAAGGGAGAGCTCTACTGTTTTGAAAGTCTCTTGTCAGCCTGTGGTACTTCCAAGCAGGAATCTAGAAATGGTACTTGAGAATAGACCAGAACACCATGCTGGTAAAGGAATGAAATATAGTTCGAGATTTCATCAGAAGCAAAATCCATTCATGATAGTCTAGCAATGCTGAAAGCTGGTAATAGGCATTCAAGCACCTGTGAAGAAGATATTGGTCTGAAGAACACAGGTGACTTAGGTGAAAACAGAAGATACCAAAAAATTCTTATTTCTTGTGATTAGTGCACAGCACTGAGTCTTGACTTCACATGTTGATACCAGATATTATGGAATTCTTTTCACCAGATACCTAGGATTCCCAGCGTGCTTCTGAACAGACACATTTTCTCTTACTACTCACACTTAGGTTTCTATCCTTATTGGCTGCCATTAACCCAATCTTTCTGTCTCCAAATAACAGGGCAGTTTTGAAACCAAGAACAGTAATTATAAATGTTTGGTGTTTGACCTGAAGAAAGCTGAAGCTTAGCTGGTATAATACTTGATACACAGTTGGCTGTAAGTTGGGGAAGGGGAATATAAATGATGTCTTGGAACTTGGATAGGCCCAAGATAACTAAAAGGTGAGAAACAAGATGTTAAATATCAAAACAGTATTTATATCAAAATTTATAATAATTTGCTCTAACTTATAAACTGATTTTTATTTACCTAAACTTGAAAGATTTCCCCCTAAGGAGTAAAATTAATGTGAACTAATATAACATTGGCTCAAGAATGGAGCTCTATGGATGGAGCAACCTCATATGGTTTAATTCTAAAGAAGCTATTTAAGGCATTCTTATTATATGTACTATCCAGGTGAAGAAATACAGATTCATCTACCCCAACTCTGATAATATTATATACTTGGCAACAAATACACTAGATTGACCCAGAATCTAGTGCCTCAGAGAATTAGACATGAACACAACTGGCATAAGTTAGAAATTCCTCAGAAATCTAGACATTAGATTTTCAGAACAATGAAGGTCATTTTACTGATACATTTAGTAAATGTTTATTAGCACCTATATAGAAGGCACAATGGGGGGTAAAAGACCTCATGGATCTGACCAACTCATGAAGAATTCATTATAGGCAAAAGAATGGTCAGAGGAGCAGTCCCCCAGATCAGAGCCATTCAGCCAGGAGACATCATAAACTGCTGGCTGAGGGCAAGCAGCCATTCTGGAAGGTCATTTAAGTCTTACGGGTGAGAACAAACCATTTCAGATCCTACCTCTTCCAAACAACTCTTCCATGGCCTCCTAGCAAATAAGTTTTTTTAATCACTTTCTAGAATACAAAAGATAATTCATCTCAGCCAAACTATATTTTCTAATACCTGATGATGTATAGTGGTAAATAAAGCCCCAGTCCACAACTTCTGTAGGCAGTAAGGGCTCTAGGGTGGATTCAGTTCAGTGAAGAATGAGCACCAACTTTGGAATGCGTAACATAGGTCACGGTAACAGAATTTTTTTTCCTACATGGCTTCTCTGATGTTGAACAAGGTATGAAGTTCGAGTGAAGCCTTTTCCACATGCATCACACTGATGGGGTTTCTCACCAGTGTGGATTTTTTGATGTTCAATAAGGCTTCTATTCTGAGTGAAACTTCTTTCACACTCATTACATTTATAAGACGTGGAAGCCTCAACATTTTCCCACTGGCTTTCAGTCCTACCCTGACCTTTCCAGGGCTCTCCATGCTCAGGATTTTGAATGTTTTTATCACCATGGATCCTCTGATGTCTCAGGAGATGTGAATTCCGCCTAAAGGCTTTGCCACATATGTTGCACTGGTATGGCTTCTCGCCGGTATGAATTTTGTGATGTTCAAGAAGACTGCAGCTCTGGCTGAAGGTCTTCCCACAGTCATCACACTCATAGGGCTTCTCCCCAGTGTGGGTTCTCTGGTGTTTGATAAGGTTTGAGCTGTGACTGAAAACCTTGCCACATTCTTCACACTCGTATGGCTTCTCACCAGTGTGAACTCTCTGATGAATGACGAGGGCAGAGCTCCCGATGAAGGTCTTCCCGCAGTCCTCACATTCATAAGGCTTCTCACCAGTGTGGATTCTCCTGTGTTTAGTCAGGCCTGAACTCTGAGCAAAACTCTTTCCACATTCATGGCAAATGTGTCGCCTCCCCGCTGTGGCACTTTTCTGCTTTCTTTGTAGCCTGTCCTCCTGTTCACCAGCTTCTGTACATGTAGGACTCTGGGTAATGTCTTCACCCAGGTGGTACAGTATCTGCCCAGGCTCTTTTTCTGGAAGTTTCTCAGCGGGAGGCAAGTCCTTGACCTTAGTCTGTATTTCACCACCTGAAACAACAAATGCCCAGCAACTGTCAATTATGCCCTTCCATGGGAAGGGTTCTCTGTGATGAGTACCCAGCAAGCAAGAATTAAAGAGATCTATATATGCCAGGGATGAAGATTTAAGTGCAAGGATAAAGACAGGAATGAAGGGGGCAAACAGGAGTGCTGGGGAGGAGGGAGACCTGAGAATGGGAATGGAGCCATTGAAAGGGTACACGGTGAGACTGGAAGGAGTAGAAGAAAAGTGGTAAGGACTGAGGACTGTGCTGAGAATACATATGGTGACTCTAAGTTCTAAGAATAGTACGGTGGGACCACACACTTTGGATTAGATACTAAAAGGGCTGAGAAGAAGGTGACAGTGTGTGAAGCATACTGCAAAAACAGAGAAAGTGGAGACTCAGAACTTGGTCACTGATCATGATACCAGTGGTTATCTCTAATTGTGTTCCAGGCAGAGGCAGGGTTCCTAAACAGAACTGGCATTGGCACTAGGAGTCTTAAGTTGGAGCCCCTACTGTGCCACTAATAAGCTATGGGGACTTAAATGAGGTAATCGTATGTGTCTCTGCACCCTCATTTCTAAGGTCAGTCTGTAGTCAATGTCTAAGGTCACTTCTAGCTCTCACATTCTGACTCTGTGGCCTATTTCCTGAAATGGTCCCTCAGCTTTCTTCCTTACTCAGGGTTAGGAGCAGGAGAACAGGAGGAAAGCCACATTCACTGAGTTTCTACGATAAGCCAGACCTATACTAAGGGCTGTATCTACTTCATCCCACTTAACCTAACAAAAACACTGGCAGGACAGAGTAGCAAGGTCAGAAGGGGTAAGGAGCTAGTCATAACTGGTTTCAGAAATGGCGATTCTGAATCCAAACATAATGGGGCTCAACAGCTTCTAATAGCCCAGTAGGTTCTAATACACAAAGAATGCCAAGAAATTGTAAGAGAAATTAGTGCCCGTCAATCTTACCCAGGGAGACCAGGCTGCTACGGCTCTCCTGCCTTTGATCTCTGTAGAAGTTCACCTGAGATGAATCCAGCTGCCTCCAACCAGGAGAGAGAGTCAGGGTCACATCTTCCATTTTCAGCAATCCCTAGAACAATAAGTAATCCCACTAGTTCCTCTTACTTAAAATCCTTTCCAAAGCTGAGTACACACAAACATGACATCCTCTTCAAAAAGGCTTTTTAAAAAGTAAATGTGGTATACCTACATCTACTTAACACTATCTCTAATAACTCTTTATCAAAACACAACTGCCAAAGGAAAGAAATATTATATACATAGGATAAATGCTTTAATATAAATATCTTAACAACCCAGAAAATGAAAAGTTTTGAAAACCAAGGCAATGCAGAGAATGGAGTGGAAACATATCCAAACTTTCCAAAAGATTTGTGGTGTGCTTTGGCAAAGGGGGTGGGGGCTCATTTACATTAATGATTTTTTGTAATAAAGTGAAATCTAGGATTGAGCTGAGAAACATTAGGAGAAAAAGGGGATACCACAGAGCCTCAAACACTTCCACCTTCCAGAAGGACATGAAAGACTGAGTAAGAAATTAAAATCTAAGTTAAGTAAATTTTGCTCAAATTGTAACATAAAGAACGTTAGACTAAAAAGATATGCCATGTTATCCCTTCATGTGTAAATTCTTTGAGGACAGAGGCCAAGGCTTTACATCCCTAGCCAAAAGCATAGTTTATTATACTTTAAAAAATAAAACTACCATCCCAACAAGGCCTTCTGTTTGCATGTGCTGAATTGCCTTGTAGAGGAAAAAATCTTATTGATGAAGGGGCTGACCAAAGAGATGAAGTAAGAAAGATCTGAGAAACACAGAGAACTCTCCAAGGTGTTATATGAAACAGGAATATGCTCTTAGGTGGGCAGCAGAATGAAGGCAGACAAGAGAAGCAACCTTGGCAGAGATGAAAACACTTAAATCCCATGTGAATCTAGGATGGGGGTGGAGTAGGACTAAGGAGGGAGGAACTTAATAAGGAGCCCAAGAGTAATGAAGAGTGTGAGGCATTAGGGGAGAGAGAGAGAGAGAGGCTCCTGCTCACCTGGGACTCTGGAGTGAACCTGGCAGCTACCTTTGTGTCTTCTCTGCAGCGCCCTCCCTGGGAAAGCCCAGGAACCTGGAAAACTAAGAAGGAAAGAAAATGGATGAGATCTACCCTGGCATTCTGCCTCCCTGCCTTGTAGAGTCCAAGTTCAGAAACCAGGTTAGTAAACTCTTGCCAAGATGTTTGTTCAAAGTGTTTTCCTTTTCTAAATGCTGGATCCATGCCAGCACCAATCCTAGGGCTTAAAGACATTTGGTGTGCTCTGTAGCTATACAAAAACCATGAGTGGTGAAATGAAAGCAACATAAAAATAAAACAAAGATTTCCATTTAAAGATATTTTAGTTTTGAATTTTGCTAAGGGATAGAAAATAAAGAGGTTTTAGTTTTTATCTGTTTTTAGTTAAAATGTCTTTAGTAGATATTAGGATGCTTTCTACTTTCTAGGAGTTCACAGATAAGCCTAGTTTCATAAAGAAGGAAATGGGAAGCCGGGTTTGGTGGCTCAGCCTGTAATCCCGGGCCTTTGGGAGGCTGAGGTGAGTGGATTGCCTGAGCCCGAGGGTTCGAGACCCGACTGGGCAGCGAGACCTCATCTCTACAATAAATCAAAAAAATCAGCAGGGTGTGGTAACGCATGCCTG